TTTTTTTTTTTTTTTTTTTTTTTTTTTTTTTTTTTTTTTTTTTTTTTTTTTTTTTTTGGAAAGCCGGGGCCGGGGGTGCCGACCCCCGACCCGCAGGACCCCCGCCGGGGCCCCGGGGCCGGGGGTCGACAACCCTGGTCAAAATCTTGGAATGGCCTTTGGATTATAATTAGTTTAATTTTTGGGGTCAGTGGAAATTCTGAAAGTCTTCCTTGCTAAAGGAAATGTTGCCGAAATTTTTACTATAACCAAAGAGGTAGTTTATTTTTAGATAATCTCCGAGTTTTGAGTTTTCTTCTCATATTTTGTTTAGTAAATATTATGCTGTCGAAATTTAGATTAAAAACAAATAGTCAATTTATTAAACTTTATTTTTCAATAATCTTTCAGTTTTGAGTTTTCTTCTTAGATTTTGCTTAGTAAATATTATTCAAGCACACTTCCTTAAAAGAAGTGTTGCCCAAATGTTTCTTAATTTCGTATCGTTATCAGAAGTCACCACTAAGTATTTTAGAATGCGACATGGAGTCAATATCCGTTACCTGGACAAGCGGTACCTGTGTTGGTTTTATGATAGAGGTCATCGTTACCTGCGAGCATTTTCAGAAGTCTTGGGCTTCATCAACTTCTGCCATCGAATTGATAGCAAGTCGGTTTGCGACTCAACACCTACCCACCATGATACCCACGTCCAGATGTATCTGTGACTCCGTAGGTGAAAGACATTTCCCTGTAAATTAAATTCCTACCCTTGGAACCTCTCTTGAATGGTCATGCAAAAGTTGTGTGAATTGAAACGGGGCTGTTAAGCGGGGATCAGAGAGGGGCGTGAGAAACATGAATCTTGGGACAAAGGGGTTTACCACGTCAGTGGCGTCTGCGTGTGAATTTTCGTTTGACTGTGTGTATGTGCAGATATGTATCGGAGCGAGGAATTGTTATGAATGGGTGAATACAGGGTGTGGGTGACAAAATTGATTTGTGGCTGTGAGAATGACTCTCCCTAATTTCCTCCGAGATTTTCCTCTTATTTTATATTTTTACCTTCTCTTGCCTGTCATATCCAGCGAAAAGGAAGGATTAGTCGAGCGCAACGTTTAGCGCCGGAATCATGACCTGAATGAGACCCGGTTTGAGTACGGCGGATTGGTCATTAATCCATGCCTACTTTATTAAAAATATTTTTGCCAGCAAAAAACGAGCGGATGCCATCTTGAAGAGTTGGTTTTTTATATAATTGGTCGGACATTGGTCCTGAACCTGTAATTCGAGGTCCTTGTCCAAGATATTCTAGGTTCTCGTCTAACACAAAAGGGGTCCCCATATGTGTTGGACTCTCAGCCCTTGCTCACTGCCACCTACTGCCTAAAAGTCAGAGGCGGCACAAAGGCTGAACGACTTATCCTTCACCCTTTATATACCGTGATGGAGATCCCCTTCACGATATTTCGCTTTCGACATATAAGTGTTGTGTGTAACCCTGAAACCCATGAAAGGTTACGAGGTTGTGGGTAACGGGTGAAGCATCGTCATGACCGTCGATCAAGTGCGTACAAATGATTCAGTGTTATGGTTTCTCTAAGGCTTCGCGTGCATTCCTTGTGCATATTTGCACGGATCTCGCCAAAACACTTCAACGTCTTTTGAGTTATGGGTTGGAACGTTTGAAAAAAGGACTAGGCATATATGCATGTTTGAATTAGTAATATTACTTTGTTGTGTGACGCGTGGTTAAGTTTGGATGTCCTACTCGACCAACAGAATTGCGCATGCGAGATCAGCGTCTCGCATGATGGTTCGTGTGCTGGTCCGGTCATTCCGTCTTCATTCTCATCATTACAATCATCATCATCAACTTGTTATCATTAGATGTTGCTCTTTAAGGCATCGTTTGCCTTTCGCATCAGCAGATGAGTTGGCCGTCACCATCATCCTCATTATCATCATCTTCAAGGTGTTGTCCATCGTCATCAACAAAATCCAAGCGAATGACATTTTGGTAAGTGTATCATCAATAACTGTGGTCGGCTAGATAGGATCGTTCCCGAAGGGATGAACGGTAGGAATCGGGTGGGGGGAGCTCTATCTTGCAGAGGCATCAGAAGGTGGGGGATGAATGTCTCAAAGAGGGTAGGGGCGAAGTAGGTGGTTGCCCTATTATGAGGAAGAGGCTGTTGTGTGGATCAACATCAGTCCCTGCGGAGGTGGAAATGGGCAAGGGGGCGGGGGGGCATGCTTTAGGTGGGAACTGCGTGCTCCTGGGGAATGGGGGGTAGAGGGTTGGTCCTACATTGGGGCCGAGGGAGAGTGGGTGACTCCCCTCGGTGGAGGCAGTGTAGGGCTGAGGGGGGAGGGGTAGGGGGAGGGAGGGGCGATCTCTCTCGAAGAAGTCTATCATTCAATTTACTATTGCTTTCCATTTGGTTGCCTCTCGAGGAGGTTGTAGGAATAGGTGTTATCTGGCAAGCCATCTGTGATCCTGCGAAGGATGGTCGAAAACTCGGTGGCCCTCGAAGACCGATGTTGGAGCAACGCTGGCCAGAGCCGGAGCCAGGTGGCGCAACTCTGTGACCTATCTTAGTGGGGGCGTGAGGCCTGGTAGAGAGCTCTGGGGGGCTGTTTGCGGGGGCAGTCCCAGTGGTCATCGACGGTCGTAACTGGAGCAATGTTGGCCGGTGTTGGAGCAAGGTGGTGCAACTCTGTAAACTAACCTAATGGGAGCATGAGGCTGGGAAGAGCTTCGGTGCATGCTGAAAATAGCCATGCTGGTGGTGGTCATAGGTGGATTGAATAGGTTTCACCTATCTGATTTGTGATGGGGAGGCTTTTTGACACACATATTCTATTGACTTGGTAAAGTCTGAATGGTAAAAAAAAAAAAAAAGGTCGGTTCTTAGGACTTTAGGGTCTCTTAGCAATCCATCTTAGACGGTTTCGGTGCTGTTATACTAAGTAATCTGCGACCATTCGATGCTAGAACAACGCTGACCGATGCTGGGGGGTTTCCCTTTAACCTGCTGATGCATGAGCGTGAGGCCTGATAGAGAGATCTGGGGATGCTTTGGGTTGGGCATCCCAAGGGACGACCAAGGGTTGCTGCTGGGATGACGCTGGTCGGAGCAGGAGCGAGTTGTGTTGCCCTGTAACCCAGCAGGGTGGGGGTGTGAGGCCTGGAAGAGCTCAGCAGGGAGTAAGACGGTGTTGGGAAGCTTAGAAGGGTCTGTGAGGGAACCTGAGGGTTGTGAGCATTCGTAGGACCTTTGTGGCAGGTTATTCCATGAGTAGTTCCCTAATAGGTTATTAGATAGTCATGATCCTCCCCATGTTTGTGAATCACATTGTGTTCACAAATTGTTCTAAGCTGAAGCCGGGTAACGGCCCCGGTAGCTCAAATGATCTCAAGCGATCTCAAATGTTCTCAATAATCTGTACAATTCGATATGGGATGCTGGGCCCAGTTCCCAGCACGTGCTGCTCACCACGAATAATAGGAAAAACTTGTTTAAAAAAAAAAAAAAAAAAAAAAAAAAAAAAAAAAGACGTGAAGCTTGCGTACCCCCTATGCTACAACCTACAAGAAACGCCATAGGTTGGACAACCTCCGCGATTGCACGTAAAAAAACTTTTGGGCATAACTCAGTAGCTTCGCAAGGATACATCCACCCAAGGGATGGTGACAACTCCTGCGGATGGAGGTAAGTTGTACCTCACGAGACCTTATCCTGTCGTAGGGGCTCGATGGAGGTATGGTTGGCGCACTTGGTCAGAGCGGCTTCGTTGCTACTCTTTATGTGATGCTACACGCGAAACTACCAACCCTGCGTAACGCGGTCGGGAAGGTCCCCTCTACGAGGACCGTCTGCTCGACAACGTACCTTCTTTTCACGTTACGACGATATTAGTTCATATTTTTAACTAACTTTTTATGTGTACCTCCCTGCTATGTCTTTGCTCGCTTTTCTCTCCTTGTTATCTTGAATATGCCCTCGTGTCGCGTCTTCCAATATGGCTCTCCCTTCCTTCTTACCTCGGATCGAGAGCGGCTATGACACACTCGTGCCTTCTGGCAAAATTTTCCAGATTTTATCGCTTCACACCTTCGCCCTCAACCACCTCTAATGCAGTAGCCCATACCTCCCCTCCTCTTTTGCCCAGGGGCATCCTACTTAAGAGCGGTTACAGGCACGCGTGCCTTGTTTCCAACCGCTTGATGACGACTTTGATGACACCCTTACAGGCCTTCTTCTCCTCCCTTTGGCTCTTCTCCAATCGCTTCCCCCTTCTACTCTGACAGTTACCAAGAAGCACGAGGCGCATGTGCATTTCGGCTGCCACCCACCTTGCCTACTTGTCTCTAGCATCCGGACTTATCCTCCTCTTTTGCGAGGAGAGCCTAATGTCGCCTCTTGAAATTAGCTACTGAGCATGCTTGTAGCTCACTCTAGGCCGAGCATCAACTTTGATCCTCTTCTCCGTTTCCTTTCCTATACCCTCCCCTACTTCCAGTTCACGATCACTCACTTTCTTGGATGTCCTCCATTTGGCCTATTTCCTTTCCCTTCTTGCTGTAGGCGTGTTCAGTTCACCTTCAAATTTGACCACCCATCTGACTGGTTTCCTCTTGCAGCCCCCTTAACTGACAGTTGGAACTGCGGAGCAATGGAGCTATATAACTCGCCCATCTCACTCTAGCATAGGTCTGGCCCCCACCCAGGAGCGCCATGCAGATCCACCCATCCTTGGCGATCAGGCCTACTTCCAATAACACGCCCCTGATGGTCATTTGGTAAGATCCACCGAGCACAGACCAAACTGTATCCCATAAATTGAATGATGGATCAACCATTCGGGTCACAATCAATCCGATCAGTCGTCCGAGGTGTTGATCGAGCCATACTACATATTTGGCCATATGCCGGGAAAAGGATCACACGACACCATAATGATGGCTCGAGGCTAAAAATGAATCATGGTCACTCACGTTCAGTTGCTCACCTCCCGCCGAGAGACCAACCAAAGCATGTCGTGCCAGGCACACCTTTGACTGGACAAGCTGATCACACTGCCAGGGAACCAAGTCGATTACAAGATAATGTTGATCTCCTCGTCAAGGAACTGAACGGAACATACCAATAATCGGATAGTGTCGTCCACTCACTGTCGATGATCATATTGGTGCCTGTCCAATCTCCATGCCGCATGTACCCATGTCGTCCGACCGACACAATCATTGCATCGACCGACGGATCACATCCACCGTCCTGATTGACCAATCACATCCATCACGTTCGTTTAATCACACCCACCAACCGGCTACCGTCATCGTATCGGTTGACCTATCACATCCATCTTGCCCCCCGACCGCTCAACCGATTACATCTACTGCACCGAACTATCATATCCACCTTGAAGTTGCCATTTGGCGGACCACAGCCATCGCCCCTTCCGACCAAATTCCATAGTACCTCATGCCATCGCGCGGCACTTAGTCCCAACGCCTGCCTCTCGGCCGACCCCAACAAGCCCCACACATGACGGTACGCATCCCAGGTGCCCTTTCCACAACTCTCATCTTTTGCACTTTCTAGCCCTTCGTCCATGTTCCTCATTGTGCATGTCACACATTGTTCCTTTTCCTTTGAATCCTCAACTTCATGTCCGTCTTTGACCTTGCTTACGATCCTTATTCGGACCATCCTTTTGGATTGGATCAGGCGTTCGTCCATAAGAAAACCCAAGTTTCTTCCCAAACCCCTGAAGCAGCTCAGTCAAACAACCACAATAAACAAAAACAGGCAAAACACATGCTACGAATCATCCTCGTTTTTGAAAACAAAGGCTATCGGCTGATAGGCAGCCGCCCGGCACCGGTACCAATTCCAAATTTCCAGTATCAGTAGCTCCCCTCCGAGGGCCTGGCGAACGGCCGTGAGTGCCACCAATGGCCACAGGGGCATGCTGGAAAGTTGCACCTCTCACTGACAGGGGCCTGCAGGAATTTTCAGAGGCCCCGGGGGTATGACAGGGTAAGGTGGTC